TCTTCAACAGAGATCTAACTTACAACTCTTTATCAATTAGTGTCCTCTTTATCACAAGAGAGACTAAGCCAAAGTGTTTATGAGAGAATTGATTAGTTAATTATGTTTTTGAAGTGGTTATTGATTGGGTCTTTTGCTGGTTGAAAAATTGTACTCACACATTCTTTATTTCTCTCAACTCTCATGCCTTTTATTCTTCGTAAAGTTAAGGATGTTTTTAGACTCTGTTTGATATGTGAAATTGAGGGGTTGGGATTGGGATTGAGAAAGCTCAACCTTTCATGTTTATTATGGATCATTTAGGAGTTTAATCCCAATCTCAATAATCCCATCTTAAATGGCATTATTCAATACCACCATTGTTGTCAAACTCTTGTGTCAACTCTCTGAGTTTATTGTTTTTATATTTTTAGGTTGCAAAATCTTGTTAACTCATTCATAAATTTGCACTAGATAAAACTCAATTAAACTCATGAGTTGACTCTCCAAGTTTATCGTTTTTATGTTTTAGCTTATAAAATCATGTTAATTTGCTTATAAACTCGTTGAGCAAGATATGTATGTATTACGTAAAACTTGGTTCATAGAAGTAGTAGAACCTAATTCAATGAAAAAAAAACTAAAAAAAACAAAAAATAATATTATTAAAAAAATACCAAAAATAAGTTGACCTATTTTTAAATTTCTATGTTAAATATAATAATCTATTAATGGATATGGATTTAATCTCAATAATTTATATTTAAAATATATTTAAATCAAATTATGGTCATATTTTATATTTAATAATATATTTTTAAAAGTTATTTATTATTAGAATTAAACTTTTATGAGTTGATGATTTGAGTTTACATTTTGAATTTCACATTCCTGTCATGAGTTTACTTAAACTCATGAGTATAATAACTTTGAATACCACCACTGCATGGTATTGAAAAATCAATTTTGAGATTGAAAATATATCCAAACAAAATTGCCCCTTAACCATATCTCTTCCCAATGTCCCTTTCATTCCCTTACCAGATTGTGCCATCTTCCTCCCTTCTCCCTCTATCTTCATCTTCCTTTCTTCTAAAATCTTCATCTTCATCTTCCATCAAGAGAGTGACATCACTGGGTTCAAATTTAAGTTTGATTTCCCATTGATGACAATTTGGTTTAGGTTCAAGCAACCACTATTACTAGATCTTGAAGCTTCTCTCTACTAGATCTCAAAACCACTATCATCTCCCTCTCTGGCTTGCAAGTCCAATCTTCATCTTCTTCTCTCACAACTTTCAATTGGTGTCACTATATCCTTGGATGAGAAAGATTCAACGTTGATGTCCTCCTCCTTCCCTCTCACATCAATGGTGATGTTTGGTAAGTAATAAAGACTCTTTGGTCATTTGTTGAGAAAGAGAGACAAAGATGTTATTGAAGTTTGGAGAGTTAAAATTTTCTTTATGAAGTTTGGAGATGAGCCTCAAGTAGAAAGAATGTAAGATAAGGGAAGATATATCTGAGGAATAGGGAATGACTGCCTAGGAACGAGGGGAGGGAAGAGACGGGAAAAATTAGCAGAAGGATGCCACATCTTAGCTCAAAACCTTAAAGTTAAAGTTTATAGGTCCTTTATCTTTATTATATATTAGTTATTAAGCCTAACTTTATCCAATGTGAGACTTCTCACATCTTTAAGTCCACTTACATTTGAATAACCGAACAATCTTTCCCTTAGGTGTGAGTCCACACAAGCTCCCATATCAAATATGCTCTAAACACCAAGTCCTTATTTTTTTAAGGCTAGCCTAGTTTTTGGGCTTTAAATAGTGTAGCACACATAGGTCCCTTTTGCAATTAGGGCCAGTCCTATTTTTAAGACTCAAACGCATGCACAATAACAGACTTTCAGATCCTAGGCAAAACTAGACTTTGATACTACTTGTTAGGAATAAGAAGCAACTGCCCGAAAATGGGGAAAGAGGAGTGATGGGTAAAAGTAGTAAAATGATGCCACATCTTAATTCAAAATTTCAAGGCTCAAGTTTATGGGTCATTTCTCTCTATTATATATTAGTTATTGAACTTAACTTTTTTCGATATAAGACTTCTCACATCTATTTAAGTCCACTCATATTTAGACAACCTAACAATCTCCCCTTCAAATATGAATCCAAACAAGCTCCTCATATCAAGCATTAAGTTCCTATTTTTAGGGCTAGCCTAGTTTTTGAACTTTAAACAATGTAGCACACACAAGCTCCTCTTACAACTAGAGCCAGTCTCATTTTTAGGACTCAAATGAATGTGCAATAATAGGCTTTCAGGTTCTAAGAAAAATCAAGCTCTGATATCACTTCTTAAAAATGAGAAGCAACCACCTAAGAATGAGGCAGAAGAGAGATAGGCAAGAGTAAAGGAAGGATGTCACATCTTAACTCAAAATCTCAAGGCTAATTAGGGCTTAGAATTGGATCCTTGATAGTATTGGTCCATATTTAGGCCCAATTAGATGGACCATGTTCAAAACTTTAACTTTTGGTCTTTGGCTTCAGCTAAAAGTCTCTTGCTGCAGCAAAAACTCAATTTTTAAGCCTCTAAATTGCATTTCAGCTTAGAAAATTAGAGAGTTAAATAAAAGTCCGAAGGTAAATGAGGAAAGCTTTGTTAGGGTTTGTTGCAAGCATCTAATTGAGTCTATTTAAAACTTCTAATCATTTAGGTAAGTGCCTACAACCTCTTCTCTTCCTCTATTGTGCATTTTTATCAATGTTTATGGGTAGTTCTTTGAGAATATGAAAATGAGTTGTGATTTTGCTTAGAATTCTGACTTCAATAGAATTAACAGATGTTTATTTAAGTATCTAACCTTTGGGTTATGGTGTTAATGAAGTTTTAAGATTTTAAAGTGAGGTTTAAAGTAAATTCTAGAGCTAATTAATTGAGCCAAGGAGATTATGAGTTATAAATAGTGTTGATTAAACTAATGGAAGTATATGTAAACTAATGAAACATAAAAATGGATTTGGTTGTGAGTAGATAACCACAATGGGATTTTTGAGTTTAGGTTTTGATTAGAGTTAATTAAAGATAATTAGTTATTAATGACTATTGATGTAATTGATTATAGATTGATCATTGTTGGTGCTAATGAGCTTATTAGAGGCTCTATTTGATATTCACGGGTACTCTTGGTTGGTAAACTAAGAGTTGAGGTAATCAGGAATTAAAGTATAGTATATTATTGTGTTTACATTTATATTTTAAGCATTATTATGGATGATTTGAAATGAGCTTATAGATAAATATGTTGATTTTGAATGATTATCCAAATATGAAACATGATTCATTGTGATGAAGTGTTTGGTGATTATATTTATATAGATGTTAAGCCTAAATTGCCTATGAGATGAATGTGTTAACATGATGAGTGGTTGTAATTGATGATGTTGGAAGAGATATGGTAAGCATGCATATTTGTGATGAAATATTTAATGATTATGTTTATATAAATGTTATTTGGTATTTGAAATATAATTATGGGCTTAGATTGGCTATGAGGTGATATTATAATGAGCTATTGTAAACTATAATGTGGTGTAAACTATGATAAGCATGCAAGTTCTGGAAATTATGAGGATAATGAATTACTATAGTATGCATGAGCTTATATTTATATTTGTTGATTGAACTTGCATGATCATAATGGGTGGGAGTTCACCCTAGCATAATAGAGGCATTATGATAGAAAATTCACATGGTATAACCTCTACTGAGTTTGCGCATAGTGGTTGGCATACTTCATTACTATATGTGCTTAGTATTGCTGACAATTTACGAGTGTGACATGGATTGGGCACAACGCTCAGTATCACTGATTCTGGATTGGACAGTGTGGATCGGGCACCTATGACACCTCAAAATTCAAGTAGGTGGAATCTATAGTTCAAGAGTGAGTGTGAGAGCCTTTAGCCGGGTGGCCCTTCACGATTGGAGAGCAGGGCTAGTTCAGTCACATTGGCTATACTTATATGAGATAATAGCCCATAGATTTAGTTAGATGAGATAAGGAGTGGCATAAGATGGTTGCATTTGATCATGTGAAGTACATTATAAAGATGCATTGTGAATAATGTTGGTTTGCCTACTGTGATATTAAATAATTAATTGTTGTGATTGCCACACTTTAATATGCTTGATTAAATTACTTGGTTATTGGTATGTTTATCTTACTCTTATAGTTTAATGTTTATAGGCGAGGATCAAGCTAAGGGCAAAGGGGAGGCCTATGAAGCTAAAGATTGAGTAATCAATTGTAATTTTTCTAGTTTTATTTTTTACGTGTAATTTAAATACAATTTTTTCAACTAGGGGTCTTTCATATTGACTTATGTTTATTTGAAGTCCACTTACATTTGCAGTCTTAAACATTGAATTTAGTCATTTTTAGATTGTCTTGGTTATAATAGGGTCCAAACTCTTAATTTGACTATGGTAATATGCTAAGATAGTTTGAACAATTATATTTTAACTAGTTAAATGAGTTTTACATGTTTTAGGTGATTATTTAACTTGAATGCAAAGAATTACATTTTCACCCCCTCATTATGTGCTTTATGATGGTTGGGTGGTCAATTCTTATATAAGGAGTTATTTGATGTTTATGGCTATTTAGACAAGTGCATTAGGACTTATTGAGTGTGGTTCAAGCTCTTGTGTGAGCTAATAGCTTATGGTTTGAGATTTAGACACTTAGTTAATGGTTTAGAGGCAAAATGTGAAATTATGGTTTTGAATGTCTAAATTCTTCATTTAATGTTGGATTGATATAAAACTAAATCATTAGCTAGACTATGAAATTGTTGATGTGTGGACATTTGAATCACCTCAATCAAAGGTTTGAGTCAAAAGTTATATACATCAAAAGTTTATAGTGAGAGAGCTGTCATGACAGTTGCTGTCATAAAGTTTTGGCTTGACTTATAGATTGTTAGCCACAGCCAAATGAGTAGTCGAGATCATTTAGCTGCAGTCAAAAACTTTACTGAAAGTGTTGGCTGTGGCTTAATATTCTCTAGCTGCAGCCAGGTATCCCTGTTAAGTAAAAATAATCATTTTTATTTTATTTTGACTTATTTTCAGCTCTAATTATTTTTCATGCTTCCTAAACACTTTTTGCTCTAATTTATAATGGCTAATTGACCTTTTAAACTTAATTTTGAGATTTAATAATTTATGGGATCCCATCTATATGGGGTTTTCTTACTTAACCTTTTTGAGTTTTTATACAGCCAAGGTTGATCGTTTTCCTTTCATGACATTTTTTATTATTAAATTAGTTATACATATCATGGTAGCTCTACCTTAAAGTTAAGTATGTGCTAATTATGTATTTAAGAATTAAAGGTTTTACAAATGCTACATCTTAACTCAAAATCTAAAGACTTAAATTTATGAGTCCTTTGTCTTTATTATATATTAATTATTAAGTCCAACTTTATCCGATGAGGGATTTCTCACATCTTTTTAAACCCACTTATACTTGGACAATCTAACAATATCTTTTAGTTATTTTTTGTTTGATTTGAGGGTTATTTTTTTTAATCATAGGACATACCAAGCATTATTTTAAAACCCAATCACACTCTCAATTATTCACACCAAATCCTTCATCCAATCCTTTAAGATTCAATATCTCATACCAATTAGGGCCTTAATAAGTTGTGAATCTGTCTTCTTGAGGTAATGATACATGCATAAGATATTGTTTTACTTATTAATAAGATACTTTCACAACATAATACACGTTTAAATATTGCAAATGGTGACATTATTCTCAAATCAGAATACGAAATATAAAAAAACAAAAGTGAAAAAATATATATATACTAACCATCATGTCAAAAGCACCGGTTCTCTTGTGAGAATGTTGAGCAAGTTTATACTCACGCATGATCCAATTCGTCTTCGTTCCTGTAGGAGCCTTGCCTCTATAATAAACCAACGTATTCCATTTTCCAACAATCATTCCTTTTGAATAAATCAATCTATCTGATCCTGAAACCTTCCAATACCCATCTTTTGTTGACCTCTTTGGTCTCACTCCATTTGGATACTTTCTTTCCCTTGGTGAGAAAAAGTACCATTCTTTTTCACAAGCACTCTTGTACCTTCCTGCAAATTAAATTCATTTTTTGAATAACAAAATAATAAAAAATTAATAATTCCAATATTACAAAAAGAATTATACTCCTTCTAGTCTTATTTATAAGGTAGGGAGAGAAGATTTTTTTGTTCTATTTATAAGTTATGTCTTAAATTTTTGGGTTAACAACGAATAGGATCCTAAACTCTTGTTCGAAAATTATCTTGAACCTCGAATTCTTAAGATATACAAAATAAATCCTAAACTTTTAAATTCAAAGCAAAATAAACCCTAATCGCTAATTTTTTTAACATTGCTACTGTCCACATGGGTACTATAATAGTCATGGTTAAATTCATAGAAAAATAAACCTTGAACAGTACTTATATGGACAATAACGATGTTAAAAAGTTAGCGGTTATATTTTATTTTGTTATGAATTTAAAAATTTAGAGTTTATTTTGCATATTGTAAAAGTTTAGGACCTAGGGCCATTTTTGAACAATAGTTCAAAGTCTTATTTATTCATTAACCATGGAAAGAGTATAAATAGGATTGGAAGGAGTATAATTCTTTTAATTTTTTATCCTCCTTTTTTGAAAAATTGTGATAAAAACGGAAGATGAATTCCCATACTTTCTCTTCCTTCTAATTTTTTCGTTTTTACTTCCCATATAATGTTGGTAAAAGAAAGTATATTATTAAAAGGAAGATGAATTCTTGCATGGATCTAGCTACCATATCATCCATGCTTCGTTAATAAAAACATGTTATAGGTCAAATGATTGTAAATTAAATTGATTATTCTATTGATGATGATAGATAGAAAGAAGATAAGAAATTAAAGAGGTATGATCTATTCCAAAAATAAAGTGATTTTATTTGATTGAATTAGTACAACATGTTATGCTATTATGCTATTATTAGACTAAATATGGGTGACGTGTTGCACCTAGTTCATGCAATAATTTCTCTTAAAGGACATACTCCCTTTAGTTCTATTAGAGGATGCCTTCTAGAAAGATGTTTTAATTCTTAATATATAAGGCATTTGATGAGTTATTAATTATATTTTTTAATATTATTCCTATTTAAACTACTCATTTATTATGAGAGAGAATACAATGTGAATTTGATTTTTTTTTTTCATTTAAATAGAGTCAGTAATTTGGGTGGGTTAAACTTATTCGAGCTAGCTCAACCCCAAACTTGTAAAAAAATCCATATAGTCAAATCCGACCTAACTAAATTCAAGCTGGCCTGTATATCCAAATTATTGAGTATTTTTACTAATTATTTTATTATTAAAAAATAGGCAATATTTTTTTATATTTATTTAAAAACTAAAATGTTATTCGGGTATTCAGGCCACGCTTTTGAGCCAGCCTAAATAGGCTTAAACATTAAAAATACATTATTTTATCAAACCAACCCTAAGCTTTTTAAGGCTCATTTGAGCTGAGCCAACTTATTGGTTTTATATTTAAATAAGGATAAAATTAAATGTTTATTTTATTTTCAAATAAATTTAATGACTTAGCCCCTTTTGGTTCGAGTGAACTAGTTATAAATATCTTATGATAAAGACCAAAAGGAGTATATTTAGTATAAGTAAAGTTGAAAAGTTTTTAAATTTTAAAATATAGTTGATGAATTTTAAGATTTTCACTGATTTCATTAAAATATGGTAAAAGTAACTTATGAATAAAGTAAGAGAAATATATATACACATATACATATAACATGAAGATGTATAATAAGAAAAATAAAAAAGAAGACATTACGACAAAGAATTTGAGGGTCATGCTGATATACATCCACTTCAAGCATCTGATTTGGTGGCAAGGGCTCATTCATGATTTTCTTCATGAGATAGAAGATGATGAGTTCTTCCTCTGTAGGGTGGAATCGATATCCAGGTGGAAAAGAATTGAAGTAATCATCATGTTTTGAGTAGTTGGAAAAGAATTGAGAGAAATGATTAGGCGTCACAAATCTTTGCTCTCTGATGACCTCCATGTTTGGTGTAATTTGCATAGGAAATAGTAGAAACTATGATTCTATCTGACCAAAAAAAAAAAAAAAGAGAAAGAAACTATGATTCTATCAAAGAAGAAGAAGAAGCAGAAACTGTGATGGATTGAAAATAGATTCTTTTTCCAACAGAACCTTCATGATTAGCTTAATTTCTCACATTAACCCAAACATTAACTTAAAAAGTACGTAGAACTGGATTACCCATAAAACATTGTTCTGAGGCACAGGACCGAATATTAGCAATAGAACAGAAAATTAATTTTTCTAAAATTTTATAACTGTTTTGAAGTAATATAACAGATATAGGAACTTACTTGATCTTCTGCAAGTCACTCTAAGTACTTCCACTAAGCTAAAGTTAGGTTCACATTATGTGTGCGAACTCGTATGAACCTATTATTTTTATACACACACGACTTTTGAATGAAAAATAAAATAAAATTTCTACCTGATTATATTAGATATATTTCGCTAATAAGATATATGTTCTCAATCAACAATTGTATTTTCATAAATATTTTCACATAATACTAAAAATGATAATATTTAGTCATGATTCTATAGACATAAAATAATATGAAGTTATTTATATGGCATAAAAAATATTAAATGTATATCAAACTAAAATAAAAATTACATTTTTAAATTAAAAATAAATTAAATATATAATTATAATAAAAAAGAATATAAGAAAAATGATAACTGCTTAAAAATATTTTATAATTTAATAAAACACTCAAAATAAGTTATATGCTTAAAAGATATAAATTTGTTGGCCAGAAAAATATAAAGTTATGTAGAATTGAAAATGGGAAAATGATAGAAAAATATCTCTAAAATATACAAATGATAATAAAGTTTTTCAAAATGGATAATTTTTTTCAGGTCCCTTGAAACTTTTTTGATATTAATGTCTTTTGTAAAATGATTGTATTAAAAAAATGCTGCATTATTTTTTTAATAAAAAGGGCCACTGATAGGATTTAATACCCAAGTGAAAAATGTATGATAAATTATTTTTAATAACAACTTGTTATATTTTTTAAAATTTTTTAGTTTTGTACATATTAAAAATAAGGTTAAAGAGAAATTTAGTCTCTAAATTATAAGTCAAGAAGTGTTCGGGACTTTAGGTGTAATGTTTCTCTTTAGCTTTTAAAAATAATGTAATATAACACCTACTATTAATAAAAGTAAATTTTAATCATTAGTTGATCTCAAAATTACAGAAAATAATTAAAAAAATTATAAAAAATGACAAAAAAACAATTTTGGGTCCTTTTCTGTAACAAAGGTAGGGGCTATATAATTCCAACTTAATTAATGAATTTATTTTATTTTATTTATAAAATTATTACTTATGAAAAAATTAAAATTTGATAAGAAAACTAGATAAATAAAAAATTTATGTTAATGTGATATTACAAGAATATAATATAGAAAATTTAATGTCAAAAGTCGTGGATATGCTTTATTTTACAATCTAAAATGGAAAAAAATGAAAAGATAATTTGATAATTATATAAATAAAAAGGATAAATTGGCTCACAAGTTTAAAAAAATTGTACCCAAAAAATATGAACCAAATTTTTAAAAATTTAAAAGTGTAGTCGATTTACACTGATATACAAAGAGTTATCATTGATATATAATGATATGTTATTGATAAATATAATAAACTGATCATAATATAAAATTTAATAAATATTGAACTGTTTGCTTGATTTGATTTTATGATATGGGTTATATATGCAAAAGTTTTATAAAAAAATGTTAACATGATATTATAAAAATAATATAATGCTTGAATTTATGATATGTTAAAAAGGATGACCAATAAAAAATATTGAAAAAAACTCAATGATAAAACAAAGTTATTGGTGGGCACCACTACTCCTAAAATTATAATATAAAAAATGTGGTTTAATTTATTATAGGGAGAAAGATTAACATGAAAAATTAAAGAAAAACAATTAAATTTGAAAACCTAATAAAAATAGGACCCATAATACTATTCATTTTACTGTTCCAAGAACAATGTCAGATATGTTTTTCTTAGTTTATGAAAGTAAACACTTAGACATTTAAAAGTTCAATAATATCTAAGTTGTTATTCACTTAAAATTAAATTATTTAATTATTTTAGTGATTGAATATGGAGACATATTTATATTAAAGAACTTGGGATTTTAGAGATATTTTAACATTTCCTGAGATCTTATTGTGTTCTCATAACTTCTATGAGACTTTATAATAATTTTCCTAAAATAAATTAGTATTTTTAATTTCATATATTGCACCACATCATTTTTCATTTATCAAGAAGGTTTAACTTCAAAGTCAAAAAATAATAAAAAAAAAACTATTGAATCAAGCCAAAAAGAAACAGAACAAAATCATAAAAGCCTAAGACATTCAAAGATGATATATAAAATATGTTATAATTCTCGTTTGTATATGTTTTGTGCCTCATGCATCATCTCTTTTTTTCAAAGTTCCATTATAAATCCTTAAGGCCATTTTTTTGGCTCTACTTATTTTTCTTGTTATTGGATCTTTGATTATTTTAAATAAATCTAAGCCTGAGAACTTTGACTTTTTAATCTGATTGTGTACCTCCATAATTCTACGTTTTAACCTTTACATTATATTGGTATTATACTAATTATTTGATGAACTCCATCCATTAATCTATAATTACGTAAGCTCTGATTTTTCTTTATTTTGGTGATAGTCTTCCTTTAATAATTAATAGAGCAGTATTTCCCTTTTCCATAATACTTTCTTTTTATTTACAAAATTAATAATCTAAATTTTTTAATTAACTAATATTTTACTGGCGCACTGCACAGTTGTAAACTAAAAAAGATTGAATATTTAGATAAAATAATAATTTTTAAACTATACCCTCCATTATGTAAGTCAAAAACTCTCTTCCCTTTGTTGTTGTATATAAAAATAATTCTGTTCTAACTTTACAAGTGGTAATATACAGTTACGACGCGCAACAAAATAAAATCTAAATTAACAACAAATGGTGCGATTATATTATATTATATTAAAAAAATATAATTTTTGGTCTTACACTTTGATCCAATTTTACTCTAGGTCCTTATACTTTTTTAAATGTTTTGAGTTTTTATTTTTTTTTTTTGGTGTTCTAGATTTTTTCATATTCTAAGGATCTAGAACACCAAAAAGAAAATGTAAAAATCTAGAATATTAAAAAAAATAAGGATCTATAATAAAATTCTCTAGAAACTTAAAATATTAAAAAATAAAAGTGTAAAATCTAAAATATTAAAAAAATAATGCAGGAACCTATACTAAAATTTGAACAAAGTGCAAAAACAAAAAATTATATTTTTTTATTATATTGTAGTTATTTTTATCATATACATTCAGTTCATAATAATTTCATGTTCAAATGACCAGAGCTCCTTGCCTCGTTCCATTATAATGAACGCATGACGAGGACGAGTAGGTAGGCTTTTTTTTAATCCATTAGTTTTGTGAAGTTTCATGCTACTTTATTATGAACATTTTAATTTATAGATATTATGTTTAATCTATTAACTATATTTTATAGTATAATTGATTTCATATAGAATATTGAGTCTAAGAAATTATAAATCTTAAAAGTAGTAACAATTATTGCATGTATTATCAATAATATTTTATAATCAATTCAGGGATTTGAAAAATATCAAATCCATTGATTTATTTTAACACATATATATAATATCAATTTTTTTGGTAACAATTAATTTTTTTTATAACACTTCTTTTCATACTTTCAATTCTATGTGAGCGTATTTTAATAATATTATTTTCTATTTACTAATTTAAACAACAAGTCAAGCCAATAAATAAATAAATAAACAGTAAGGAAAAAATGATAAGTAAAATAAATTTAACAGATCAAATTGATACAAAATTAAACTTGAGGCAAATGGATAAAAATCATAATTTTAATAATTTTAAAATAATTATACTTCTTTCAATCAATTTGTATGACTGTGATAAATATTCTGTTATATTTGTCATTTTATTTAACACTGTTATCTTTTCTTTAAATAACAAAGACCAAATTAATAATTGAGATAAATTTAAGAGATCAAATCAATAAAAGTTAAACTTGAGAAATTAAAAATTTTATTATATTTTTATTTTTAATTTATGGATGAAAATAGACGGGAGAATTAAAACAGAACCCAACAGAAGCAATGAAAATACAATAAAATCCCACAAAATGCCAAAATATTCCTAAAATTTCAAATTCCCTTAATGTAAACATATTTCCATATTCAATTACCAAGAAACCCTTGTATTATTATTATTATTATTATTATTATTATTATTATACCCATATCTCGGTTCCTCGTCTGACCACAGGTCTAAAGTAGCTCAACTTGAACTAGCTCCCTAAACAGTTTTTTTATGCTGATCGAGTCAAAATCTAGACCGGTCGATACTCCAACTATCTAATTCGGTCTGATTTTTTAATCATTGTTTCTCAATTAAATTTCTTCATCTTCCACAATCATTGAATCATATGCAAATGACAATAAAATACTTCAAAATATGCAAATGACAGATAGGTACCGTGAAATGTAATAATTATTTTCTAATTCTGAAGGACTTGCCTGTCATTCTTTTCTTTTAGGAAATGACATATTTGCCCCTTCCTCATTTTTAATTTCCAATGTTCCTCTCTCTCCAATGCCTCCCCTGCTTTTCCCACCCAGCGCTTCATCTCCCTGGACGGCATCATCAACTCCAGAGCCTGAGTTATCGGCGGCGATACCTGCTTGAACGCCGGCTTATACACTCGAGCTAGCCCTCTTTACGTCAGGTATCCATGCGTGCATGTATCGTCTCCATCTTTCTATAGCTCTCTCGCATCCTCTCCCATTCTCTTTCAAGCACTTCCCCTTACTCCATCATTAATTTCCATCCCCTCACGTTCCCTTCCTTTCAGA